TTTGCGTTAGTCACTGACTCTCTGCCTAAAATGCATTGCAGGGTTGTTTTGAGGATAAGATGGAGAAGAGCAACAACTGTGTAAGTTGCCTCTGATTCTATGAAGAAAACCTGAGATATAAATAAATGTATGACTTCTGAAGCTGTAGTTGCTGTGGGCATTTCTGTTTAGTGAAAAGGACTATCCAAGAGTCTTCTATTTCTCCAAGCCACCAAGAACCCAGAGGAACCAATAAGCCATCCTGTCTACAAAGTGGAAGATTCAATTCAGGAACTTCTTATACACTGTAGCCTTCCTACCTGGAGAAGGAACTAGTCCCCAAATTCCAGATTTTTCTACTTGAGTTTCAGATCATGAGTTCTTAAACCTACTTTTATCTTCTGCATTCCTACATACATACTCCAGTTCTCCTCAGATGGACTTCTCTGCTTAGTCTTTTCCATCAATCAATCATTCCACTGTGTCGGACTCCTGAACTGTCCTGATACAGATCTGGTCATCCTAGACAAAACCAACCTCAATCCAAATCCTAATGGGGCTTGAATCTTCTGCACCCCACAGGCTCAATCACATCAGCCAAGAACCAACATTTTATGACAGTCTTCCCTGTGACTTTCCAGAAGTGCTGAACTACAATTCCCATAATTAATTCTCAGCCAGCTTAGCCATACTGCCTGGGAATTATGGAACCTGTGGTCCATCAGACCTGGAGGGCAGCAGGTTGGGGTGGCTATTTTGTTAATTATTTCTTCATCCAGATTATTGTTTGTGTGTCGACAGATAACATCCAAGTATCTAGGTAGACTTATACATATTTCTTCATTATCATGCCTCTGGCTGCATTGCTGTTTCATCAGAACCTGTCCTTTGCTGAACAATGGGTGGATTCAGTTTGGCAACTATCTTTATTTTGGGTTAATTTTTTAAGCTTGCTAATTTTCTCAGGGTTTTCAATGAAACTGGAAGAATGTGGAGAAGCAAAATGCTAAATACAGACTTTCTGAACTCCTACCCATCCCAAACCTCACTGCCAACAATAAACAGATCCCCAAAGCTTACTCGGAGCAGGGCATAATTAAAAGCAACCTGGCACCAATTAATTAGTGCTGTTCTCTAAATAAATGACAAAGAATGAAATATGCCTCCATAAAATAGTTCCGCACTGAGTTGTTAGCAACTTGCCTTTGAAGAGTGAATGCAACCACCCCAAGGGGGTTTAGCCTATCTAATTCTCATCGATTAAACAAGACCTCCTCTAGGAAAACAATGCTTCAAAAGCGAAAAATCTTAACTACAGACACATTCCAACCAATTTTTTTTGGTAAAGTTTATTGGAAAGAGGAACAGTAATTCAGACTGCTTGAAAATGAGGTGCCTGTACTCGTATTATGAAGTGAACTTTTCCTCTTTCTGCTATCACAGCAATTATACTACATGGGATATATGGGGGTTATCTAAAATCCTGGAGTCCAGGGATCTGCATGGTTGAAGTCACCCTTAGGAAAAGTGTGAAGGCTTCCCAGGAAATCCTGGCCATAAATCTAGGGCTTTCCATCAAATGAGGAAGAGAAGGAAAGACTAAAGTAGAACCCCCATATCCACTGTCTCAGTTACTACAGTTTTACTTAAACATAGTTGGCCTAGGTCTGAAAGAGAAGTCATAAAGTGATTCCTTTAAGTGAAAAATTTCAATGTTGTTGTTGTTCTTAGTCGTGAAGTCGTGTCCAACCCATCACAACCCCATGGACAGCATTCCTCCAGGCTTTCCTGTCCTCCACCATCCCCCGGAGTCCACTGAAACTCACACTGACTGCTTCAGTGACTCCATCCAGCCACCTCATCCTCTGCTGTCCCCTTCTACTTTTGCCTTCAATTGTTCCCAGCAGTAGGGTCTTCTCCAGTGAGTTCTTCCTTCTAATTAGGTGGCCAAAGTATTTGAGTTTCATCTTCAGGATCTGGCCTTCTAAAGAGCAGTCAGGGTTGATCTCCTCTAGGACTGACTGGTTTGATTGCATTGCAGTCCAAGGGACTCGCAGGAGTCTCCTCCAGCACCACAATTCAAAGACCTCAATTCTTCGGCACTCAGGCTTCCTTAAGGTCCAACTTTCACAGCCATACTTTGCAACTGGGAAAACCAGAGCCTTGACTATATGTACTTTTGTCGGCAGAGTGATGTCTCTGCTTTTTAGTATGCTGTCTAGATTTGCCATAGCTTTCCTCCCAAGGAGCAAGCCTCTTTTAACTTCTTGGCTGCAGTCTCCGTCTGCGGTGATCTTGGAGCCCAGGAAAATAAAATCTGTCGCTACCTCCATTTGTTCCCCATCTAATTGCCAAGAAGTGATAGGACCAGATGCCATGATCTCAGGTTTCTTAATGTTGAGTTTCAAGCCAACTTTTGCGCTTTCCTCCTTCACCCGCGTCAAGAGGCTCTTTAGTTTGCTTTCTGCCATTAGAGTGGCATGGTCTGGTATTCCCACCTCTTTAAGAACTTGCCACAATTTGTTGCGATCCACACAATCAAAGGCTTTAGCATAGTCAATGAAGCAGAAGTAGATGCTTTTCTGGAACTCCCTAGCTTTCTCCATGATTCAGCGTACGTTGGCAATTTGATCTCTAGTTCCTCTCCCTCTTCGAAATCCTGCCTGTACTTCTGGTAGTTCTTGGTCCACATACTGCTGGAGTCTAGCTTGTAGGATTTTGAGCATAACTTTGCAAGCATGTGAAATGAGTGCAATGGTGCGGTAGTTTGAACATTCTTTGGCATTGCTCTTCTTTGGGATGGGAATATAAACTGACCTTTTCCAATCCTGTGGCCACTGTTGAGTTTTCCAAATTTGCAGGCATATTGCGTGCAGCACTTTTACTGCATCGTCTTTCAGGATTTTGAATAGCTCAGCTGAAATACTGTCACCTCCACTAGCTTTGTTGTTGCTCAGACTTCATAAGACCCATTTAACTTCACATTCCAAGATGTCTGGTGCGTGGTCAGTGCATCATGGTTATCAGGGACATTAAGCTCTTTCTTGTATAGTTCTTCTGTGTAATCTTGCCACCTCTTCTTAATCTCTTCTGCCTGTTAGGTCCCTGCCATTTTGGTCCTATATCATGCCCATCTTTGCATGAAACATTCCCTTCATATCTCCAATTTTCTTGAAGAGATCTCTGGTCCTCCCTATTCTATTGTTTTCTTCTATTTCTTTGCACTGTTCATTTAAGAAGGCATTCTTATCTCTTCTAGCTATTCTCTGGAATTCTGCATTCAATTGGGTGTATCTTTCTCTTTCTCCCTTGCCTTTTGCTTCCCTTCTTTCCTCAGCTACTTGTAAAGCTTCCTTAGATAGCCATCTTGTATTTCTTTTTCTTTGGGATGGTTTTAGTTGCTACCTCTTGTACAATGTTGCGAACCTCCGTCCATAGTTCTTCAGGCACTCTGTCTATCAGAACTAATTCCTTAAATCTATTTGTCACCTCTACTGTATATTCATCAGGGATATGATTTAGGTCATACCTGAGTGGCCTAATGCTTTTCCCTACTTTCAATTTAAGCCTAAATTTTGCAACCAGAAGCTCATGATCTGAGCCACAGTCAACTCCCGCTCTAGTTTTTACTGACTGTATAGAGCTTCTCCATCTTTGGGTGCAGAGCACATAGTCAGTCTGATTTCTCTGTTGACCATCTGGTGATGTCCATGTGTAGACTCATCTCTTGGGTTGTTGGAAAAGAATGTTTGCTATGACCATCATATTCTCTTGACAAAATTCTACCAGCCTGTGCCCTGCTTCATTTTGTACTCCAAGGCCAAACTTGCCTGTTATTCCAGTTATCTTTTGGCTTCCTACTTTAGCATTCCAATCCCCCATGATGATAAGGACATCATTTTTGGTGTTAATTCTAGAAGATGTTGTAGGCCTTCATAGATCTGGTCAACTTCAGCCTCTTCAGCACCAGTGGTTGGGGCACAGACTTGGACTACTGTGTTGTTGAATGGTTTGCCTTGGATTCGAACTGAGATCATTCTGTCATTGTATTCCAGTACTGCTCTTCCTACTCTTTTATTGACTATGAAGGCTACTCCATTTCTTCTGAGGGATTCTTGCCCGCAGTAGTATACCTGATAGTCATCTGAATTCAATTCACCCATTCCTGTCCATTTTAGTTCACTGATTCCTAAGATGTCGATGTTCAGTCTTGTCATCTCGTTTAACCACATCCAGCTTGCCTTGATTCATAGATCTTACATTCCAGGTTCCTATGGAGTATAGATCTTTACAGCATCGGACTCTCCTTTCACCACCAGATACATCCGCAACTGAGTGTCCTTTCGGCTTTGATCCAGTTGCTTCTTTCTTTCTGGCGCTACTAGTACTAGCCCTCTGCTCTTCCCCAGTAGCATATTGGACACCTTCTGACCTGAGGGGCTCATCTTGCGGCATCCTATCTTTTTGCCTTTTGGTACTGTCCATGGGGTTTTCATGGCAAAGATACTGGAGTGGGTTACCATTTCCTTCTCCAGTGGATCACATTTTATCCTTTAAGTGAAAATTTTCAATAGGGAAAGAAAAAAATTCATATACTGCAGTTGCTAAGAGGTATGATAAGAACAAATCTTCTACTCATGAAACTGCGAAAAAAGAACTGTATATGTACAGCATATAGTATTTGCTACTATCTATAGTTTCAGGCATCCACTAGGGGGCTTGGAACCTATCCCCCACAGATACAGAGATCCTGGTGTATTTACAATTGATGTATGTATCTATCAGCTTCAGGACAAGGCAAATATGATAATGATATGGATTTTGCCTTTTTTCAATTGCACATTAGCTACAGTTCAGTTTCCTAGCATGGCTTGGTCAGGTGCCATAGAGAAAATAGCCTTCAATCACGTGCAGAACAGAGAACTCACCTTGTGACTGGAAAATCTACACTTGTCAAAGTTTCCTTTTTTGAACAATACTTAAAGTTACAAGAGCATGCAACTGCTTTAACTCTCAGCCACATGAAACAAGTTGGCCATCCCAGGGACTGAGTTCCCCCAGTTCGCTTTACACACACAGTTCAGGGTGCTCCGATAATTATCAGCCAGTCCTGCCTTTAAAGTTTCTCCACAAGCAGCAATCAGAATTACATGCAATCTCTGCATGGAGCTAATGAATTCATGACCAAGGCTACTCCTAGGCATGTTAACAAGATCCTTTATCAGGATATTACTGTCCAACTTTAATGCTGAACACCAGGCCCTTGGCCATGCCTGAACTATAATGGAACCAACACGCTAGGACAGCACTGCAAGGTAAGTAATGGTGCCGCTCAAGCCTCATTTTGTTAAACATTTTTCTCTCTTTTATATAAAAAGGAAAAATAAAAACGTTGATGATTCTTTATTGCTAAAGTTAAAAAATGATTTTATCACTTTCTTATCATTAAGAATGTAAGCAAGCAAATTGTAATGCTCCTATTTCAGCAGCTTGAAGGGAACAAGGCTTGCTGCTGAACTGGACTGAATGCCTTGTATTACTCTGACAAGGAGGCTATGGGGCAAGTGATGTCACCCCTAAGCTTTATTTTATCACTGTGGATAAGAATGATTGGGACTAGCAAATTGAATTAAATGGAAAACAAAGTTCCACACTACCAAATTCAGCATTCTTTGCCCACTTTGGCACCAGTTCACAGACAGAATACACAGAAAGTAGAGCTGTAAAAGTGGCAAAAGTCAAATTCATTATGCTTTCTCCTCGGACCACAGTCAGACTTGTATCCATACCATATTGTGATCTTTTTTATTTTTGAGGTAAAAAATTGTGAAGTACTTGGGTACACATTCAAAGGTACACTATCTTTTTCTATTGATTTGAGCATGTCAGCATGCTCTTTTTAAAAAGTACATTTTTCCTGATGTACAATTTTTAACACTTTTTCCCTACAGAGACCTTTGCAAACTCAAGAATGAGCATGCTTTCAATACATATTGTGCTTGCATAAAGAATTGTAAGAATGTGGTAAGTTCTAGTCATAAACCAACTGAAATTCTCATATATGCAAGTTTACTCAGAAGTGAGTCCTGCTGTGTTCAATGAGTCTTACTCCCTAATAAGTTGTTTAGGATTGCAGCCTTAATATGCTTAATTTATTTTGCCCAACAGGACTTATGATCTGAATATATCTAGGTGAAAAGTCTGTGGTATTTTTAGCCCAGATTATAGATCTTCATGCTCTATGTGTTTACTGGCTCTTACATGTTCATTATTTTTATGAACCATTCATCTATCAGCAAGGCTATCTATCCGTAATGTCAAAATTTATATCTGGGATTTGGTCATTCTTGTTGAATGCTGAACTCTGTGCCAACCAATTATTCATCAGTCAATTTCAAAAATATATATCTGAAAGAGGAATGTTTCTGGAAGCCATCAAGAGCATCCACAACTACGTTTTCTTTAAAACACAGATACACACTCACTAACTTAATAAGAACAGATTTTTAAAAGATGCATAATATATCTAGTATTGTATTAAGTGCATTTGCACATCCTGCTAGCCCACCCTGACAATAACTCACAGTAAGTTGGTTGTGTGAATAAGCCATGATGAACCCACCAGGTAACGGGGCTCACCTTGGCTTGTTCGCTCCCTCCTTTCCCATTTGTTTTCCTGCTGGTATCCCAGGGGACAACATGAGAAGAACAAGCCTCCCCCCACCCCTCTGCTGCCACAAACTGTGTTAGGCTCACTGCAGATTCTTTTCCCCATCTATTTTTTGTATTGTGAGGAGGGAGATTATGAAAGCCATCTGTCAAGCCAGCTTTCACCATCTCCATTTTGACAGCTACAAGCAACCTCCTCAAAGTGTCCCAGCAACACAATGGAGGGGCTCCCTATTGTTGCCAAGCTTTACCATCTCAAGTGGAAAAAAAATGTTTAAAGGGGAAAAACCCACAGCAAGCCCAAAGGGTTCATGATGATGGCAAGAAGGGAACCAGCACCAGCTGCTTCTGAGTGCTTGGGCTCTTTGGAGGCAGCTGGCGCTGGTGGTTGTCTGGGAACCCCAGAAAAAAGCAACAGGAGTATTTTGTCACTTTTGGAATGGGGCTCTGCAGTTAACTATACCCATGATGGGGTCATTGTTTGGGTTCAGATGACACAGCAACCCAGTATGTGCACAATGATCCCTGTAACAGCCCATAAGTTGTTGGGGTGAGTTATTGCCTATGTATAAGCCACCCTGGGGAAATCTATCCAGGTTCACATATCATGTCTACCTATTGTGCTTATCAATCAATGTCATGCAAACCCAGTCACTGTATATATGTCATACTTTGTAAACTGAAACAATTGGAGTGGGATTAAAAAAAGCTTTAATGGCCAATCGGCATCAGTAACTAGCATTCTCACCTCAGAATCAATACTGAAACTAGTTAAATCATTTGAAAATATTCATAATACCACGACTGAAAGATTTATTCTGCTATCCTACTTGTTTTGCCCCACTGAAGCAGTGAAGGAACAAACTGCCCCTACTTTGTCAATACATATTTCAATCCTGAAGTCAAAAGGCTGTAAATAGGTTACTTCCTCATACACTTAGCAGAAATGTAGGGCACTAAGACATCTCAAGAGATCGCCCTGTCTGTTCTCCCACCTCTGTACTCTTTGCATCCCATCAGGTTTGCATGTTGCCTTGCTCTAGATAGAAGAGACATTTTTTATTTCTTCCTTTTTGTAGATGACTGGTTCAGATAATCAAAGTCGAAAAACCAGGGGCGATGATACCACTGAGCTATCAGAACAGGCCTGGTTGTAAATTTAAACACCACTTTTATTCATTAATCTCCAACAGCTAAAGACAAACTAAAAGCAAAATTAACATGATTGCAATGGAAGCACTCTTGTACCCTGGGGCTATTTTGGGGCCTGCTGAGAGAAAGAGAGTTGATCAAAGAAAGAGACAGCATCAAGGCTAGTGTGATTAGTGTGGCTTCACTGTGTTAATGGTTAGTTTCTCGTTCCTGAACTGTTTTGAGAGCTCGCCAGTACCACAATTAATCTGGGCTTCAAATTGGAGTGAAATGGCTCAATGTCCTGTCCAGTCTAATGACAGTATTTCACTCTGAGGACTTAATGCAAGCAATCAAAACCAGAGTATAATTGGTGGGTGCCCAGGGGTGGTAATCATTTGGACAGGGACTCTCATGGTATGATGTAGTCCTCTTTTATATCATATAGAAGTATAGATAAAAAAGAGTAATTGTACATTTTATTTATTAGTAACTAACTTTATTTTTATATTATTTACATAGTAGTTGACATTGTTTATAATGTGTAGGTTTCCAACTCAAGCAACATTTGGGATAAAGAATAAGTGAAGCTACAGTGGTTAAGGGTAATTCCAGTGCAATCATGTTTGCCACAATTGCATGTCTGTTTCTTGAATACATAAACTGTAAATAACAGATGGACATCCTTAGATATTGATATGCATATGTGCCTGGGAGCCCCAAATATACAAGGGTGTTAAAGGGCACACATTTGTTATTATCAGTTTACATGTTTACTGTGGGAAGTGCTGCCTACAACTAACATAATTGCAGAAAATGTGGAGCAATTCCAAAGTGCTAGGCTTTGAATTTAGATATGGGAGAAGCCATTTCAAATCCCCACTCAGCTATGAAGCTCAGGGGTAGCCTTGGACAAATCACTATGTCTGACCCTAACACACTTTGCAGAGTTGTAGATAGGCTATAGCATGCTGCTATTTGCTCCCTCAGGGAGCAGCAACATAGAAATGTTATAACATAGCAATTAAAACATGTGTTACTTGAATTATAGTCCATCTGCCTAAACTGGAGGGATCGATTAACCCACCCCCTCCTCCAGCAGTAATACAGCAAAAAGTGCATTCAGGACATATATAAAGAAAAGAAAGAATAAAAATCATACCTTTTAAAGTAAAACAGACAATCCATTAATTACAATAAAAGAGTTGCTAATAAATTTGGAAAGCACCCTAATGAAAAGTCATTGATGATCATTTGAAAACTGAAAGATTTAGTGCTGAGAAACAGGTCTTTCTGGTCAGACAATGGGACTACCTGAGATCATCATGGTTGAACTTTCTAAGGAAGTAGGGGTAATACAAACCGAAATTCTAAAGCATGTTGAATTCATTTCAGGCCACATACTTTTTGTAGGCTGAGGCATCCAGAGCAGAGAATAGCCGTCTTTGTGCATTACTTAATGCCAACTTTGGGGTCTCAAGGCTCTATGCTTGTTCTGGAAGAAAATTATTTAAATTAAAATGGCACACCACAGTGTTGACTGGCACAAGAGCAACTTCTGCATCATGATTCACTGCTGCCTTCAAAGTTTCAGTCCCTGGACTTCCACTTGTTGGTTGAGGACTAGCAATAGAGCAACAGTGGATGCACCAGGCAGCAAGGTGACTTGGGCCATCAGCCTTCCCCACCCAGCATACTCAACTGATTTGGCTTCCCCCTGTCACAATTTCCTCCATCAGTCCACACCTACAAATACATCTTTCAGATGCAGGTTTTCAATAGAATGTCACTCCTATTTCCACCTTCTTCACACAATTTTAAGTTAATATTCCTCAGTCAGAAAAACTTGGGAGCGTTACTGCAACGAGGGATTTGTGAACTTGGAGGAAAGGTCTAAAGTGTCTGAATGTTCAAACCAAACTCTTTCCAATGTCATGCAAGAACTCTGTGCAAAAACACGCCATTTCTCCCTATCCATTAAATAATATAAATGTAACTGCATCACTGGGGGGCATAGAAGCCCACATTAATCTCACAGTGAAGTCAGTGAGAATACTCGTGAATAACTCTTCACATTTGTTATCTAAACTTCAGACAAAATTCAGGCCACTATTTCCAAAAACACTGTTGTTGCACATACACACGCACCACTACCCTGAGTTTATTTCCCAGGGCCCTGGACCTATTCCATGGTGCCCCAACTGTCCATTAGTGACAATGGAAGGTGTTTCTTTCCCAGTTTAATTGCCATACTGTGTGTGTGTGTGGGGGGGGGGGTTCAGGGGAGTAGGTGGGAACAGTTTATCCTGCCCTCTACACATACTGTAATCCATTTATCAATATTCTACTTCAATGCAATTAAGTTGATGTGGGGAGGCACTTATTTTCAATTCATTTGGGATGATCCAGATATGGCTGCAAATTAATTGAGGAATTTATTTTGAGATAGTTTATATGCGAAATTGACTAAATTTAACTCCTGTGAAATTAAATTAATCCTAGTAATTATAAAGGAGCATATGAAATTTTATACTGATTTGTGTCCTATGGGCCTGGGTATCATTTAACTGCTTAGCCATTGCTCTGGCCAAGTGGTGGTGCTATGCTGACTGGAGATGTCCACAATGCCAACATGGTGTGCTGTTCACAACACTGACCTTAGCAGGACCAGACAGGGACCAGTTCAACAGCAAAATCCTCACTAAGCCATAAAGCTCATGGGGCGTTTTGGGCCAGTCATTATGTTCCACTCAACCTCATGGGGTTGTTGTGAAAACAAAGAGATGGAGAGAGATGCTCCCTTAAGCTCCTTTGGATATAAGTGAAATACATAAATAAAAGGGACAAGACTTATGCACGTTTTCACAATGCAAGTGGCCTTACTGGTCCATTAACAAAATTGCCCCAAACCATGACTGACTTCCAGCTGGTTCTCACTGAAGGGCCGTTATTGCTTGGATCGCCACTTAAAAATAGTAGGGGTAACATGGGAGTGGAAGAATGCAGTGCCAAGTAACAATGGAGTGTTACTAACTTAAATTTTCCAAAATTTGCACAAAACAGTATTGTTTTCTTCATTTCTTATATTTGCTGTTTAGTTGCAAAGCTGCGCCCGACCCATCACGACTCCATGGAAAACATTCCTCCAGGCCTTCCTGTCCTCCACCATCCTTGGAGTCCACCCAAGCTCACGCCCACTGCCCCAGTGACTCCATCCAGCCACC